ACCCGTTGGAGCGGGTCCAGAGGAGGACACAAAACCGACCAGAGGGCTGGAGCAACTCTCCCAGAAGACAGACTGCGAGAGCTGGGCGTGTTTAGTCTGGAGGAGGCTCCCGGGAGACCTCGCAGCAGCCCACCCGTTGGAGCGGGTCCAGAGGAGGACACAAAACCGACCAGAGGGCTGGAGCAACTCTCCCAGAAGACAGACTGCGAGAGCTGGGCGTGTTTAGTCTGGAGGAGGCTCCCGGGAGACCTCGCAGCAGCCCTCCAGGGCCTGAAGGGGCTACAGGAGAGCTGGGGAGGGACTGCTTACAAGCGCGCCTAGCGACAGGACAAGGGGCAATGGTTTTAAACGAGAGCAGGGCACATTTAGATGAGACAAGTTCTTTACTTTCAGGGAGGTGAAACACTGGCGCAAGTTGCCCAGAGAGGTGGCGGAGGCCCCATCCCTGGAGGCAGCCATGGGCAGGCTTGAGAAACCGGACAGAATGATGTCCCTGCTCGCTGCAGGGAGGTTGGACTGAATGACCTTTGGAGGTCCCTTCCATGAGTGATGTTTCCAAGCAGGGACACCTCTGTGTGCACTCTTGTGTCCCAGAAGAGGAAGATCCACAACGAACCAGCCACCACTGGCCTGTCAAAGTTTGTCGGTGATGTTCTTGGGGCGGGCTGCTCCATGCTCCTCACTGGAGGTACAGTGTCTTCCCACACGTTTTTTCCACCAGAAAAACCCAACCGCCTCTGATTCATGATCTCATAACAGAGAAAACATTTGTGTTAAATGGGCAGTGACAGGCAAAACCGTAATGACCACCCAAATGTCTCAGTTCCGTTGTTAGAATGAAAACATGCAGAGATACTAACAAAACTCAGCAAAGGAAGCTATGTATTTCCTCAAGTTTAAAAATAACTTAGTTTTGCTTTTTGACAAGTGACGTTAAGGGCAGGCCTCCAAACTGGGCATGTGTTGCTTTTGTATAGATTAGAGTGGTAACCCCATCTGCTGCTGCTCTGTTCTGCAGTTAGCATGCACATTCTATTAATATTTAGTATTTAAGAGCTCTTCAGCAACTGAAATTGTCTTAGGGGGGAAGACAAGTAAGTTCAGATGATCTCCAGCACAAATAAAGGGCTAGCATAAGTAATTTACAGGAGCAAGGCAGGATTTGCAATGTTGGCAATGGTCGGTAATGAACTAAGCAGTACATAGTTTTGGGCTTCTCTTAAGCCAGCTAGGAGCTGCGATAAAAAAAAAAATTACCTGTCCCACCAGATTTTATCGCATTTCATTAGATATCAAAGCTGCAACTCTTCACAAGAGTAGAAGGGTAGCTGCTGAGAAAGAGGTTTGGTTTTGTGTTTTAAGCAGCTGCTGTCTTTTTTTATTTTTTTTTCCTTCTTGTCCTTACAGTTCAAGTTCAGAAGCATGCACATATTTATAGGTTTCTTGAGAGCCCTGTGGAGGACTCGTAACTTCTGTATTTCCTATTAAGGAATATATTTTTCTTACCCACCACTTCAGCTTCAGCTCTTAACTTCTGAAAGTGTGTATATGACTGGGGCCCTGCTGATCAGAGCTCACCCCAGTGAAACAGAAATACCTTTAAATTCAAGGGGAATAACCGTCATATTTTCTACTCAGAAATACAGACATCTTCTGTAAACCACTGGCACAAAGTCATTTTAAACCACTGCTGAATTTGAAGTTTTTATTAGTTCTCATGCTATTTATTTCATCTGAAGTGCATTATGCATGATGAGGATAAGAGGTACTCACAAGTCCTTAATAAATGAAATTTGATGACCATAAGTTGACATCAAGTATGCTTACCTGGTTGACTTGGATTTTTCAGAGAGACTGTCCAAAACAAGTTATTTATAATATCAAATACCTTCATTTTGCAAGTTGATTAGCATTTTGTTTATTCTTCTGAATATCTGTATTAAGAATTTTGCTAACAATTTCATCACTTAACAGCTGTTATTTTAAAAAAGGTTTCTTTCAAGCTTACGAACACTAAGCAATGCCTGAAGCCACAAATATTATATTTGTTAAATGATAAGCCACAGCTAGCTTACGTTCTTTATCAATATTAGAATACACAAACCTGTAAGTTAAAGTTTGCAAATCAGTATTTAATGTGATGGAAGAAAGAGATAAACCTTTTGGGTGCCTATACCTTTTAGGCCTGAAACAGGAGAAGCAAACTTCAGAATTCTCAGCTTCTACTGATTCCTCCAATTTTAACTAGATATTTGGAACACTTGGAAGTACAGACAGTACCTGGAGAACAGCAAAGAAATAAGACTGATGAGAAAGAGCGTAGCAAGTAAGATAATTATCTTCCTGAAAGGAAGGAGCAAGGCAGAAAAGTTATAGTTCGTGGAAAAAAAGCAAGTCCAAGCATAAAGCAAATTTCTGCCCTGTACATACATTTTTAAAATTCAGAATTAAGCACTCAACTCACAGAGATTTACCTTTGGAAGACGTTCCACATGTGTTCCCTTGAGGATCAGTGTTGAAGACTCAGAGAGGTAGTAGATATGTTGCCAGAATCATTCCTTATCTGGTAATAGTGTCATTTTGTCCTTCATTAATGGTCTTATTCTGATGTGTAATGCACAGTTTTACTGACAGTCTTTGGTAAACTGGATGAAACATATCACTCTCTCTTAGCTCTACTCACTACCTCTTATCCATGCATGTAATCTGGGTTATGACTTTAGACCAGACTGTCACATTTACCACAAAATTATGAAACATTTGTGCAAACACGTTCCTCGGACTCAAGATCAGTACATCAAATACCAATTAAGAAAGAACTTCTATTACTACAAAGGCATTTTTACTAATGAGAAATCACTGCTGAGATTTTAATTCTGGCTACATTTCTAGTCACATTTCATCAGTTGACACCTGGATCATTTTTATGCCTTTGGTTTTTTTTTCCAGCACTGGAAAAGAACATACGGGATTTTAATGACACGTTTTATCTGTGTAGATAAAATGCATAGTTGGTAACCCTTCTTCCTTCTCACAACTGGATAATTTTAGCAAGCAGCAGACAGCCTGACCTTTATTGTACAGGCTAGATGCAATCTGCAGACAAGTATAGGTTTTTAAATAATGTCTTGGCTTCCCTTACACTGAAATCCTGTGACTCCAACAGATAATCAAGAACAAAAGAGTGTGAAGGAGAACAGAATTAGCTGGCTGCTGATAAATCTTTGCTGCAGGGCATGCACGTAAGTATGTACACACCATTTAGTTAGAGGGAGAAATAAAGAAATTTACGCAGCAGGATTTCTCTGCTACCATATATAATTGTAGAACTAAGTTTTTTAAGACTGGAAGAGAGTCCAAATCATCTTAATCCAAGTATTAAAGATCTCTCATTGGTTTTAAATGAGGAAATCTTTAAATCGTATCACAACATAATCACGACCTTACGCTCTCCGCAAATTCCTGGAAAAATTATGGTAATTTGTATTTGAAAGTCATTTTCAAAGGTATCTGTTTTGGAAGTCATAATCTTCTGTCATACTTCTGCTAGGCTCAAAGGTATTTAAATATGAGCACCAAATTAAAAACTTCATTTGTTAAACTAACAATTCACAGGAGATGCCAGTAGACAGGAAAGGAGGGAGGAAGTTCTTTGTTTCTAGCACTGGCATCTTGACAATTCTCCTGTGGATTTAATATTTATATCATTTAATAGGATTGAGAAGCTTTTTAACTAGGGCAGATTCATGGCCTAATCTGAGGAGAAAAGAGAAGAACACAGTCTCCTGAGAAATAAAATATATTACCTTTAGTAGATGTTTTGGGATATTCTCAGGAGGTTAAACACTGAACATTAAGGGACTGTTGTCTAGACTTATGCCTTGGAGCCTGCTGGATTTGAAAAACCTGTCAAGATCATGTGTTTCAGGTGCAACATTCCTTCAGTGAGCTTCAGACCTACAGGAACAGGTTCCAGAAGTGTTCTCATGGTGGTGAGAAGCTGTCAGAATATGCAAACTGGCAGGATCATCAAAATTCTTAGGAATATGTATTTTACTCTGAAAAAGAAATTAAAAAGGCGACCTTCTACTCCCAATTTACAAAACATGCACAGTTGGGACAATTATTTATTTATTTTTAGCGTTTCGGGTGGTCTTTTTCTGCACAATGTCACTTTTTGTACATAATGAGACAGTATCAATCTCGATTTTGATTTGTAGCATTCACTATCAAAAGTATACCTATAACATTTAAAAAGTTACATTTACAAAATTGTCACCTTGTCCAATTAAGATTTATTAAAGGTTTAGTCGTAACATATATACAATGACTAGAAAAACACATGTTAATTTTAAAAGCAGTATAAAATTTTATTGTACGGTACAAATTCAGTGTTAGATGTCTCTGAAGATGGTATTATAAATAATCATTTAATCTTAGCTTTAAAATATATTGTGTCAATTCTAATAGAAATGTTTAAAAAGAGCTCATCGCTCTTCCAAGCTTCTGACAAAAGAGTACAATCCTCAAGATACTTTATATTACCGAGTTCATTTTAACAAAATATTTACTGCAAAGTTCGTGATCGCCAAGATATAAAGCTAAAATATGTATTTCCAGCATAGCAGGAGGTAACCACGAAGGCAAAGAACTGCAGAGAGAGGAGAAAAAATATATTAGGAAAAAGAATACATATGTATTTGAGAGTACTGTCATTTTTATTAGAAAAAAATAGTTATGGGATTGGGAACAAGGAGGAATAGCAGGCTGATTAAAATGGCACTCTTCCACCTCCTTGGACTTGTGTGGCCATCATAGTTAACACTGTGTAAGCAAGCTTGTGTTATGCATAGAAATATGGACCTAAAAGCAGACAAATCATGGCAAATTTCAGCTCTTATCTCCATATCATACTATGTCAGTACAAATCTGACAGGTCGGACTCCCACCCGTCCTATACTTGCTGCTTTTATCATCAGTTGCTACAAAAACTCCACAGCGTGAGCAATGTTGCTTTCGCAGCCCTTGGAGCAGACGTGCACAGAAACCCGAGGAACAGCTGTGAACTATTTCAGCTGTGCTGATAAAGTCCAGTTCAGTGCCAGCAGTTAAATTCTCGTTAATCACTCCGTGTAGTTCAAAATACACAATGTTCAAAATGGTCTTAAGATAAGACCAAAATGTTTTGTGCTGGTAACTAAACCAAATAAAGATGACACCGCAAATAGAATTAACGCTGCTATTTTTTTATTTTTTTTTTGTAGGGGTGAGCAACGATAGGACAAGACAGAAGAAACTGAAGTTACAGGAAGGGAAATTTCAATTAGATACGAGGGGAAAAAAAAAAATCACAGTGAGTATAATCAAGCATGGCAACAGAGGCTCAGAGGCATCGTGGAATAGCCATCCTTGGACATACTCAAAACTCAAGTCAGCTTTGAGCCAAAACTCAAGTCTCTGGTTAGACTTACCCTGGCTTT